GAGTACGAAGGTGAGTGCGCGCCCCGGGCTGCGGGCCCCTTGCGCCCAAACTCAGGCGCCTGCCAGAGACGCGCGCCGGCCTTAGCCCTAGGCTCCCAGCTCTGGGCGCGGGCTCGGGGCTGTGTCTGTGGCCGGAGCTCCCCACCTGCGTTTGCAGAAGCCTCCTCGCAGCCCTCAGCCCGGGCCGTCGGGGAGTCGGCAGCGGGAGGCTGGGCGGGCCCGGCTGCGGGTCCCTAACCCTGCGGGGCCTCGTCCCCCAGCCCCGCGCCCCTACTGCCCCAAGGAGCCCGGGGAGGCGCGGCCGAGCCCCGGGCTGCCGGTCGGGCCGGCCGCGGGCGACGCGAAGCTGGCCGAGGAGGAGCCGCCGAAGAAGAAGCACCGGCGGAACCGCACGACGTTCACCACCTACCAGCTGCACGAACTGGAGCGCGCCTTCGAGAAGTCCCACTACCCCGACGTGTACAGCCGCGAGGAGCTGGCGGGGAAGGTCAACCTCCCCGAGGTCCGGGTCCAGGTAACGCGCCCAGGTCGGGGGACCGTGAGCCGAGGGGGAGCGCTCTGAGTCCCGGGCGTCCACAGATTTTTCTTGGTACCTCTCCCTTTGGCCTTCCTCGCCTTGACTCGTTCAGAGCCCCAAATCGTGCACGATCCCCACGCAGCGCCCCGCAGACGGTCGTTTCGAGTTGATAGTGTGACCTTCCCTTTGGGGTTCTCCCTGCCCTAAGCTAAAATGAAGAATTGGGAATGGCTTGCAAAATGAACAGCTCACTGGCCCAGGCAGGGTGGAGTGGAGGCAAGCTGAGCAGGAAGGTGGGCAGGGGCGGCTGGAGGGTAACCAAATTGGGGCTCCAAACGCCACTCCCATCCCTAGCTGCGAGCCCCACGTTAAAAGCAAAAAGCCCGGTCTCCTTGCGCTCGGGGCCTGGCGTCGTTCGGTTGAAACTTTCGGTGGATTTGTTTCGGAAACTGACTTTTGCTTCTCTGGGGCACATCCCACCGAAATTCCCGCCGCCGAGGCCTTTTCTCTTTATTGTAAAGGGGTTTTCGCTTTAATTAAAGCTGAATTATCTTTAATCCCTGATCATTAAAATATTTGAAAGCCTTAAATATTTGCTAGTCATCTGTGAAAATCTGGGAGGCTTTCCAAAGGGGAGAGTTTACAGAGGCCTGAGAGGGAGACACTGGAAGTGAGTCTCAGGGCACCTGAAAGGCAGGGGGGACTAAGGTAGGATTTCTGTGTGTGTCTAATAAATTAGATTCCTGGAAGTGGGGATACTCAGGTGTTTGGGGCTTTTAGTCCCATCTTAAAAGGGGGACAAGCCCTTGCCTTTTGTCTTTCCTGCTCACTTTAGGGGGTTAAAGTAATGAGTAAAAGTCGTGGTTTAAAGAAATCATTCCCTAATGTGATTTAGGACTAACTGGTAAGGACAGTTGAGTTTCTCCTAATTTGGGGCCTTAAAGCTGCAAGGATTCCCTCGCGGGGGTGGAAATTCTAGCACCTGCTTCCTGGGGAGAGAGGGTGAAGTAGGGAACAGGGAATACCAGAGAGAAAGAAGAAGAAAGAGGAGAGCCCAGCCTTGTGGGGGCCCGAGAACACAGGGTGTCCTTCATGCCTGAGCTCACTTCTGTCCCAGCCTGTTCCTGTCTCATTCCGACTAAGTCGTGAGACACTTGAGAGTGCGGTCTGTGACTTCTCAGTGACCACCTGGCACAGTGTCCAGCATATGGGCAGTGCTTGAACACACAGCTCTGATGTAGTCAAGGAGCCCTGATGGAGGAATGGCCAAGCCCAGGGCTTGTTGTTGTTGTTATGTGCCATTGAGTCGGCCCTAACTCATAGTGACCCCTCCTTGGGTTTCCGAGGCAGTATCACTACAGAAGTAGGAATGCCCAACCTTCCTTCCAAGGATTGGCTGGTGGGTTTGAACCACCAGCCTTCTGGTTAGCAGTCAAGTGCCTTAGGCACTATGCTACTAGAGCTCCTAAGCCCAGGGCTACTAACTGAAAAGTGGGTGGTTGGAACCTACCAGCTGCTCTGCGGGAGAGAGACCTGGTCATCTACTCCCTGAGAGGTTACAGTTTAGGAAGCCCTGTGGGGCAGCTGTACTCTGTTCAACAGGGTTGAAATGTGTCGGAATTGACTCTGCTGCACATAGCAAGAACATGATGTAATCAGGTGGTGGGATCAGAAAGACCAGGCAGAGTCTGCTACGTTGTTAATTTGCTAAGGGCAGCAGGAGAGCAGTACAGTAGCAGCCCAGCCCTATCTGCATGCAGGCCTATGGCCCCAGATATGGGGGCTACAGCTGATGTTGCCTGGATGGAGCGGGACATGCAGGGAAGCTTAGGAAGCTATAGGGTGGGAGGCCTCACCCAGGCCAGGGCTTCTCCTTTCTCTATTGCTGGCAGAAATCTGAGGCTTGGGGGAACTCTGGGCCTTACAGATAGAGATGAACACCTCATGGGAAGGGGGATTTCTATTTTGCTCTCCCTCCCTCTTTTGCCCCCAGATCCCAGCCTCACACCCACTAGCCCTGCTGTGCTCAGGTGGGGCTTTTCTCTCCTAGGAGGTTTTTTTTCCACCCTGACAATAACTCAAAACAGCCTTCTCCTCTCTGGGGTTGCAACCATTCTCACTTCCCTTCACCAGTTGGGCCAAAGTCCTTTTTGAATCTCCACTAAACTAGGCCAGTTTTCTGAGTAGTTCTCAAGGGTAGTAACCCTAAGTGTAACATTACTATATCTTTTCTTGTGCATTTATCAAACCAGTGCCGGAAGTCGCAGCATAAGAAAGCAGACTTCACTCTTGGCCAAGACTTTCTTTCCACATGTAAAGGAAAAAAAAAATAAAATAAAATAAAAACTTTGAACTCATTGAGCTAACATCTTAGGTTAAATGTTAAAAGTAACTATAATGTAAAGCAGATACAATAAATGAACTATTAAAATCTTTGGCAGTTATTTAAAAAGGAACACTAGAAATACTAACAGATAATTACATGAAAAGGAAGATCTTATTGAAGCAATAGGTGTATGCTGGGGAAGACAAATCCTTATCCGGTGTCTGTGGAAATAGTTGTAACATTCACATGTCAGTTACAGGACGTATTTATGCGTATGTTTATGATCAAGGCACAGGGCAGGTAAAGTACCAAATCTCTGAGACAAGAATGCAACCATTGAGAGCTGCCCCCCACAGGGAAGAAGCAATGTCTAAACAAGCGTTAGGAGAGTTGTCAACCAGCAGGTGCCAAAGAGGAGAGGCAGAAATTTGGTGGGATGTGCTTTCCGTTCTGTGCCAGGATTTGGGAAGAGATACAGCTAAAGTTAGGAGTCAGATCAGCAGAGAAAAGGGCGGGAACGACAAGGGTGGTGCAAAGAAATTGGGGGAGGCAAGAAAGAAGGAAGAGGGGGAAAAGCACAAAATGAGGATGAGAAAGAAAGGGCACGAGGCGGGAGGAGGAGTCGCGGCTGAGTCGTGGAGCCCAGGGTCATTTGTGGAGACCAATCGAGCTGGTTGGGCTGTGGCGCGCAGGTGCGGGGGCGCGCTCGAGCCTCCACTGCAGCCCGACCGCCGCTGTGCTGCCCCCCGCAGGTGTGGTTCCAGAACCGACGCGCCAAGTGGCGGCGACAGGAGAAGCTGGAAATGTCGTCCATGAAGCTGCAGGACTCTCCCCTGCTCTCCTTCCGCCGTTCCCCGCCCTCAGCCGCTCTGGCGCCCCTGAGCGCAGGCCCCGGGGGCGGCGGGGGACCGCCAGGGGGCGCCCTGCCGCTGGAGACGTGGCTCGGGCCTCCACTGCCGGGAGGGGGCGCCACGGCGCTGCAGAGCCTGCCCGGCTTTGGGCCGCCGGCGCCCAGCCTGCCCGCCAGCTACACGCCGCCGCCGCCGCCCTTCTTGAACTCGCCGCCGCTGGGACCTGGCCTGCCGCCGCTCGGGCCACCGCCGCCCGCCTACCCGTGCGCCCCTGACTTCGGGGACAAGTGTCCGCTGGACGAGGCGGACCCACGCAACAGCAGCATCGCGGCGCTGCGCCTGAAGGCCAAGGAGCATATCCAGGCCATGGGGAAACCGTGGCAGGCCCTCTAGGGGACGAGGACAAGCCAGGCCTGGTGGCCGTCCTGGGAGCGGACCGCGCCGTCTCCTTTCCCAATCTCTCCTGGTCCCTCACTGGACTATTCTCCTGTCCCGCCTGCAAGTCACTGCCAGCCCTCTGTTGGGGACACGCACCTACTCAGGACGCACGGGGGAGCGCAGACCCTCGGGTCTGAACCGCCCGCCACACTGTCCCCATGCCCTGAGACTCCAGGTCCTAAGGGTGGAAAGTCCTGCGCTTGGCCGCCGAGGGACGGCTTGGCGACCGGGGGAAGAGGAGACAGCAGATGGTGTGAGGAGCTGTTTGTCTCGTAGCGATGGTTGGGGAGAAGAATTAAAGACGTGCTGGTTTGGCATGACTCGAGTTGCGCGCTCAGGCCTGCGGAGGGCGTAGGAGGAACGGGGGCGCGGTGGGGCTGGGATGGCGGCTCGGCTAAGGAAAGCAGAGGACCTGGAGCTAGGCGTTCCCCTGCGAATTCTCCGGGGCGCTCTGCTGCAGCGGAGAAGCTCCCCATCCCGGACGGGGGCGCCTCCTGCGAAGCATCTATTCCGCCTTCCTGTCCGATGAAAGCCGCGCAGAGCGCGCAGACCCTGGCGGCCCCGCCCCCGGCTTTCCAGCCAGCCAAGGGCCAGTCTCAGATTACCGTCCAGGTCACCGGCTCAGAGCTAAATCCCAGCCACCCGGGGTTGATGACGTTAGCCTTCCAGGCTGGGGCGCAGGGACTCTGAGTCGTGCTCCTGCCTCCCCAACTTCTCTCCGCACGCGCAACTCGCTGGGTATATTGAGCGCTCATAGGGTAGGTGCCGCGCTTCGCCAGCGGCCTGGAGCGCTCCGCCGCGCGAATGCCTGAGCGCAGGTTCGGGGATCCAGAATCGTAGGTTTCCCAGGCTCCCGCCTTCCTTGAGCGCGCCCTGGCCCAGGCGCGCCCCCGACTCCTGGCCGGAGCAGCCGCTCCCGAGCCCAAAGAAGGCGTGGTCGGCCCGCAGCCTCCACCTTCGGTGCTGGAAGCTGGGCTGCAGTCCGAATAACCCGATTCACGCGCGGGTCCTCGGGCCCCTCCCGACATCAGCCCGCTGCTGTCCGTCTGTGCTCAGCGCGTTAGGGAGCCTCTCCAACCCTCTCTTCTCATCCCTATCTTCCCATTAAACCTTAATAACAACTTTACCAGGAAGATATTATTAGTTTCGTTTTATAAAAGAGGAAACGAGGCACAGAGACGTTGCCCGGGTAAGTGTCCCGCTTGTGGTGGAGCGGGCATAACCAGAGGGCTGGTCACTCACCATCTCGGTGCACGGTCAGGAAATGTTTGCAGAATAAACGCTCCTTACTTCCACAGTTCGTATTTCAATTGCTAGGAACAGCTCCTTCGACAATACTGGGGCCCCAGGTGCCCTTCCCTTCTCCATCCCACCCCTCCTGTGGCGCAGGGAGGCTCTCAAGGCGGTGCTTCCGCGCGGCAGGTGGGCCGGGGTTCCAGTGCTTAACTCCTCAGGCTGGAGTGACAGCAGCTGGGGATCAAGAGCATCAACGCCCCGACGACTCTGAAACAGCTGGGGTCGCTGCAAGCTCCCCGCCACATATAGTGCACAGGCGCGGGCCAACGTGCTGCACGGCTTGCGAAGCCAGACTGCTGGCCTCTGCTTTCAGCGTCCCCGAGGGAAGGGCCTGCCGTCGCAAGCCTGTATCACGCGGGAACGAGCGCTTGAGTCTTCTATGGGGCTGCAGGTTTGGCTCTGGCGACGCCACCAGTCATCAGTGAACGGGAACAGAACCAAATGGGCGTGGTCTTATGGGGTCCCAAGCATCGCGATCAAGGCAACCTTGATTCGGGCTGACTTGGCTTCAGCAAATCTAGGAAGGAGGTCTCGGGAACCCCCGAAGGACCGACGCTGCTCCCGCGGGCAGCCAGTTACAGAGCAGCTCCTGGGAGGCAGGTTGGGACCCGCCTGAGCCCGCCTCTCGGGCTTCGGGGGCGGAGTTCTAGGAGCTCGGGTCCCGGGCAGGACAGGCCGGATTGGCCGTGCCGAGAGGGGGGCGGAGCCAAGCGCGGTTGGGCGGGGCGCCGACAGGCTGGGGCGCGGCGGGAACTGCTTTCTCCACTCCGCCACCAGCTACCCAACCGTTGGGGGGCGTTTCACCGTGCGCGGTTTTCTCTTTGGGGGCGAGTCTCTGCCTGCTCGCACGGTTCCCGCCGTCTGCAGGCGATGCTGGCTGCCCAATTTCTCCCGCGCGCAGGTGCGAGGAACTACGGGGTCCGCCCCTCCTGGGCGTCCCTTGCTGTGTGCTGAGGGCCCGCGCTGCGGCCGCAGCCCGGGTCCCAACTGTCCGTTCCCTCTTGAGTCTCCGGCTCTCCACGCCCGGTTCTGCCCCCTGCCGGCCTGAGCTCCCGCCTCCGCTGCCCGGGAGGACGATGGGGACGCTGCGGGTGAGGCCCCTCGAGAGCGGCGACCGAGGCTCAGCAAAGCAACTGGGGCGACCCCGTTGCATTTATTTATTTAAACGTATATTTAATGCTTGCGGAGGTGTATGTCCAGCCAAGGGTTGTAATCCCTGCAGCCTGCACGCCCAGCCCAATTCATCAGGAATGCTACAGCCCCAGTCCTCGGTCAAGTTAATCAGATGAGGGGAAAGTCTGAGGACCCCACGAGCGGAGAGGTCCTCCGCTCTGCCTGCGCGTCCCTCCCGCGGATGGCGGACGACGAGGACCTCCGGCTGCAGACGCGGGGACCACCCTGATCCCGGTCCCCCCCTCCAGTCATGCCTTGTCTGCTTCCACATCTCGGTTCAGGCGCCCATTTTCGCCCCCAAATCCTACCGCGCGTCTGAAGGAGCGCCTCCACGAGGCCGGCGGGAGGACTTTCTGGGAAGATAGTCCTTGAAAGCCGACACTTTCTCCTTGGCCCCAGGATCGCTCGCTCTGCGCCGGCCTAGGAAAGCGGCGCCTGGAGCTTGGCGAGGCCCACGGGGCTCGTTGCCAAAGTCGTTAATTGGGGACAGGCTCTAAGAATCAGGCCGCAGCTTGTTAACTGGACAAATACTGATTAATTCCTTAACCAGGACTTAAATGCTCCCTGGAAACCCTCTTTTTAAAACTGGATTAAATCATCTAGATCCCTGGCCACGACTCCCACGGTCCTGCAAGGCCTAGGCACTACCCAGGTCTCCAGCGCCTTCGGCCGCCTGGCTTCTAGAAGGCAGGGTGCAGTGGCGGTTCCTTCAGCCTGGGAGTCCGGACGTGTGGGTGGACCCATTGTGGCTGTGACATTGTCTGGCCATGTGACCTTAAGCAGGACGTCCCTTGCCTCCCTGTAAAGCTAGTTGGTGTCCAAGGTCTGTCTCCCTCCTCACCTCGCCATGCACCAAACCACCACCACAAACCTGTTGCCATGGAGTTGATCCCAACTCGTGGCGACCCCAAGGGTGTACAGTAGAAGGGCTCCGTAATCTCCAAGGCCGTGACCCCTCAGAAGCAGAAGACCAGGCCTGTCTTCCTAGGCACTTCTGGATGGTTCCAACCGCCAACCTTAGGTTTGTATTCCAGCGCAAATCATTGCGGCCAGATGTACTCACACAGCTTCACTTGTCTTTTCTCTACCTTTTAAAAGGTCCTCTGGTGGTGTAGTGGGTAAGGCATTTGGCTGCTAACCAAAAGACTTGTGATTCCTAGCCACCAGCAGCTCCGCGGAAGAAAGATGGGGCCGTCTGCTTCCCTAAAGATTTACAGCCTTGGAAACCCAATGGGGGTCGCTATGAGTCGGAATGGACTCAATGGCAATGTGTTTGGTTTGGTTCATACTTCTTCGAATTTCATTTTGGGTTAGAGGGCATTCCTTTCAGGCTACAATCAGAGACGTTATTGAATTCCTGTCAGGAGACCCCAGGAGCCCCAGTTTTGCCACTGAGCTGATACTTGGTTTCAGGCAAGCCAGTCTCACTCTGGCGCAAGTCCCTTGCCTGTGAGATAAGGGGGCGAAACTGGAGGGCCTCTAACAGCTTCTCAAGGAGTCCTGGTGGCAACAGTTAACCTTTCAGGCTGCTAATAGGTCTGTGTGTCAAGGGCACCCAGGGGCTCCGAAGGAAAAAAGACCTGACTCTGTGGTCTGTAAAGATTACAGCCTAGGAAACCCTATGGGGAAGTTCTGTTCTGCCTCAAGGGATCACTAGGACTCTGAATGAACTGCCTGACACCCAGCAGGAGCATCCCGGAGGCAAAGTTGTGTTGGAGTGAACAAACTTACCTCAGTAATTTGGCTAAGGGTGCCCTCTAGTGGCTACCTTGAGAACTTCACCTGCTGTTTGAAGTTCTTTGACAGATCTGCTTCCCAGCAGCCTGGACAAGAGCCTTTGTCGGCCAAAAAATACAAATAACTAACCTTTTTTTCATAGCCCTACCCCCACCACCACCACCACCAAATCAGTGGCATTCATGCTTCTTCAGTGGAAAGCCTCCTTTTGCAGGCAGAGTCGCACCCCGTCCGAATCAACCCAACAGTGGGGAATCTCATACAGGTGTCCCTCACTTTTCGAAAGTTCACTTTGCACCACTTCGCTTAACAAAAGACCTACGTTAGTACCTGTTTTCACTAACAGAATTCCTAAGAGGATTTTCACTTTCGCTGAAGAAGGCGAAACGCACACTAGCATTCAGTGTTTGTTTTGCAGCGAGCCGTTTAGAAGGCAGCGCGAGGCTGCCCAGTGAGAATGGCGTCACGGACTGCGACACCCGGCTTCTTCCCCGGAGCTCCGCTCAGCATCCAGTTGCCATAGCTCTGAACTGTATCTGTGAACACTGCGTCAGCGTTATGTTAGGTTTTATGCTATTTGGTAGCTTATTTTTTTAGTCTGGAAAAGCTCGATTTCCCAGGTGAATTACTGGCAGTTGGGTCTTTGCTTCATGCCATGTCAGGGTGAAAAGCTTCATAGGAACGCTCTACTTTCGGATAGCGAGGAAAACGTGTATCAAAAAAAGGCCATATTTACACTTCATATTTTC